GTAGCTTTGTGGAGAAAGGTCTTAGCTTCAAAATCATGTTTTGTTTTTTTGGTGTTACATTTCCATTTCTGGTATACCAAAGGATATACAAGACCAATAAAAAGTTGTGGGACTAGGTGTCCTGCACTATACACAACAATAGGCATTGGGTTAGCAATAGGTTTTGTCAGATAGCAGCTGAGGGAACCCTTTGTATCATAATTCTCCATTTGATGGTTACAATGGTTAATCTGATGTTTCATGACCAAATTATACAATGTTTTTCTATGATGGAATGTCTGCATGGATTTGTTGTGCATTTTTACTGTTTCTGGTGCAAAACTAGGATTTTTTTGCGTTTTTATACCACCTTTTTATCCAGTTTGCATCTACAAGATGCTCAAGAGACCTGTTTCATAGTAATTTTGATATCATTATTTTTTTTATAACATATATGCTAAATTTTCTATGTGTTCTAATCCAAGAAAGAAAAAATTTTTTGACGTAATAGTTAACAGGAGAGTGAGTGAAATGAGCAAGATGTGCTACACACGTCAATTAACGAAACTAGAAAAAACACTAAATTGATAAAATTTTCAAATTAAATATTTCTGCTACCTATATAAAAAGAAATAAAAAAATGTTATCTTATATCATTAACTATATCGCTAAAGCAATTTCATATCTAGATGATAGTAGGAATCCATTTGAGGATGGAGATTTAATAGAGGTAAGAGAGATTGTAGAGTATAAAGAGGTGAAAACACCGCCAACAATAATTCAAAATAATATCCCAGCAGAAGTTTTAACTCAAAAGAAAACAAGAGCTAAAGCCATTGTATATGGAAAATATGCTAAACAGAAAGGTGAAAAGGTAGCAGACTGGAGAAGGCGCATTATTCCAAAATATATTGAAGTAAAGCAACGAAATTTAAATCCTGAGAGTAAGTATTACACTACTGATAGAATCAATAATTTTATAAAAGAAATCAAAGAAATTGAATCTGAATGAAAGTTTTTCATTAATTTTGGCAAGATTCACAGAAAAGCATATTTGTTTTACATTATATTTTTTTTAAGTCTTAATTCGTGATATGTGAAACAACTGCAATAATTTCATAATAGAATTTGGCGCAGATCACTAATTGAAATTTTCCGGAACCCATACTTCATTCCTAAAAAACTACTATTTATATGAATTTATAAATTGTATTTGCAAATGTAATAAATAGTAAGAAACCCAAAGTTTTAATATACAAATTTTCAAATGGACTTTCTTATAAAATATTTTATCTTTATATGGAGGGACCGCTGGATTCTTGCCTAAAATTGCTATATAAAACTTAAGATTCAAGTATAATATTTAATTATTTATTCAAGAAAAAAAATATAAATAAGCGTTTGTAATTAGTTTTATTCAAAAAAAAAAGAAATATAAATAGATGTTTGGTTACTTTGAAAAGTTTAAATTTTAAATTTTTATGTCGCGCGTAATCATGCTTAATCACGTGAGGACGGTCATATTCCAAAAATTCTAAAAATTATATTGTTTCTATCTATATCAAGTCCCAATTTTTTTGGCGATATTTAATGACATTATAGAACAATTTGCACTGCTATCAAGGACAGCACTAGGGATAGTTAATTTATTGATTCGGCATTTTATAGTCACTATATCACTAGCTGGTTTCCGAAGAATATTAAATACCATAGGTTCACTAACATTTTCAATAGCTGGTTGAATATTAGAAGCATTTTCAACAGGCTGTTGTTCATTCAAAGAGGCATTTACGGTAGATTGATTTTTTACTACTGTAATGAGATATTCTAGTACTTTCTTAAACTCTTTCATATCAGCTTCATAGACATCCCAAGTTACAATCTTCTTTTTAGGTTTATGCTTCATTGCAGGACTTTTTTTTTTACAGAATTTGTAGTATAGGTTTCTTCCTCATATTCATCTTCATCCTCAGAATCTGTATCATCCTCAGAATCAGTCTCCTCTTCAGAATCCCTCTCATTGAAAATGATATGCCTGGCTTTCTTTGTATTAGCCTTCTTTTTCTTGGAAACTTTCTTAGGCTTAGACTTCTTTTTGTTAGAAACGCAATTTATAATTTTTTTTTGATGTACCACCTTGAAGTTCTCTAGCAAGATTAATAAGAGTATAGTCTATTTCCATTGGATCATCAGGGCGTTTGTCCTCTATTTCTAGACCCCTTTCTGCATACTCTTTCATCTCGGCATATTTTTTAGCTTTTTCTGTCTTTGGACAAAATCTTTGGAATGGTTCATTTGGATAGAATCTTTTCCAAGTTTCGTCATCAACCAAGCCCATATCATATAACCACCTATCTTCTTTATATTGTTGAGGTGATTGAAATATAGGTGGAGGGGCAATTGGATCTCTTATTTTAACAGCTTTATTTTGCATTATTAATGATTTTAACTGGTCAATAACTTGTTGATTACTATTTATGATATTTTGAGTTGGATTAGTAACTGGTTGCGTAATAGGCATAGCTGGTTGAATAACAGGCATAATCTGAGTTTGAACATTATCATGGCTAGTAAATGTAAAAGGTCTATGTTCAAGCCACATATTTTTTAGTGCTATGAGAAATTCATTAATTCCTGCTGGATTCGCAATTTTCATTCATGTAAAAAGTTCATCAGGCAAGTGATTCATAATGAATGTCATTAAATTAGCATCATCATTAGCAACTCCTAATAGTAATGGGCGAATTCTATATTCATAAGTTTCTGGTGTATCCGAATTCAAGAATTTTTCTTGAGTCAATCTCTGGATAGACGCCAGTTGACTTCCAACAGTTTTAGTCTGATATTTATGTCTAAGCCAACCTCTGAATCGAGCTAGAGTATCAATATTATTTCCATTGTGTTGTGCAGGAACTGGTGCATACTTCCCAGACATTTTCGATTTCAAAATATCTGTTTTTACAGCTGCATTGAAACCGGCAACATTTAATGCAGTTCCATATGTGAATAGTTGTTCCATTTTATCGATATAAGCATCTGGTGGTTCCTGACCAGTATATAGTGGGATTTGAGCAACAAGTGGTGCTAATGCTAACATTACATGTTCTAGTGTAGCCATGTTTGCTAATGGTTGATTAACTTGTTGTTCCAAGAGTCTAAATCTTTGCTTTAACTTTGCATGATTAGCGCGTAAATTTTTATCTTTTTTCTTTAATCTTGCATACTTAGCACATTCAGTTTCGTAATTTACATGCTTGGCACGTAAAGCTTTTTCTCTTTGCTTCCACTTTGCATGCTTAGCATGAGAAGTTCAAAATAGTCCTTTCCATTTTACTTGTTTAGCGCGTAAAGTTTTCAATTGCCCAGCTTGAAAATTACATACCTGATATATTTGATTAGTGGAGCCTTTAATTATACTAAAGAAAAACATGCAAAAAATGAAAGCAAGAGCTGACCCATTCGGTTATATATTATTATAATATATCGCGTTAGGCTTGCTAGTTCTACTAAAAAGAACGAAAAACTTTGTTGGGCAACGATAACTAATTCGTCTCTAATAATTAGGAAATATTTCGTAATCTTATCCAATGTTTCCTAATATTCTATAACTTTTTAGGTGAAATCTTTGAATCTGAAGTGACAAATCTACTTGTAATTGTTCCTACTTCTGACTCTTATCCTCCTCAGCCTAGAACACCTGGTAAAAGAGGATGTAAAAAATGATGGAATAATAATTGTGCAGACTGATTGATTTAGAATCAATTAATAGTGTACACCTTTGATTGCTTCTTTTGATATATCCTTAAGAAGTATGAATAGCTTATCAATTTCAGTTGCCATCTCATATGGATGCCATCTATATATTGCATTTGATTTTGAGGCATATGCTTCATCATCTGGTATAATTTTTTTTGCTAATAATTTTACCCTAAACTCTGTGTTAGACATGCTCTGTAATTTATTTAAATATCTTGAATAAATTTGTGATGCTTTCCTATCCTTAAGCTTTCCTTGCTTGAGAGCTATATTGATTATTTTATAAAGTGCTTCCTCGACATCTTTGCTATTTTTCCCACCATTAAGCATTACATTTGAATCTAATTCATCCCATTTATAATAATCCATTCTATCAAAATCTCGTTGAGATACTTATAAAAAATAAATGTCTAATTCAAAAATTATGATTAATTCGTGCTCCGTGAGACAACTGCAAAATTTTGCCGATTGTTAGTATAATTTTGTGGCGATAATAAACAATATAATTTTTAGAATTTT